CAGAAGAAGGGAATTGACTTTGATGAAATTTTCTCCCTTGTTGTGAAGATGTCTTCTATTCGTGTGGTTCTAGGCTTATCCGCGAGTCTAGATTTAGAGGTTGAGCAGATGGAGGTCAAGACTGATTTTCTTCATGGTGATTTAAATGAGGAGATTTATATGGAGCAGCCTGAGGACTTTGTAGTTAAGCTTGCAGATAAGCATGCGTTTTGCAGAAAATTGGCAGGCATAAAGCCTGTCAATAGTTTCTCTACTTGAAGACATATTTGGCCCCTTGGATGGAGGGGGGGTTTGTTGGGCACATTCCCATATTGTCCAGCCAAAGGCCCAATGGTCTAATCCTATTCTCTTTTGGTCTCCATTCCTATTCGGAATTGGATTCGGTGTTTATTCCTATTTTGAGTGGGTTTTGGCTTTAAGAGAAAGCACCACTTATGATCTATAAATAGGAAAATCTTGGAGAATTGTTCTATGCTCATTGATACAAGTCTTTGAAAGACTTAAGCACATAAGAGTGGTTTTTGAGAGAGCTTCCATCAAGAGAGAAGAGAGAAGAAAAATATTTATTTTGCTGCAGATTTTATTCCGACCAGCCAATTTTACATCACATTTTCGGATTCGTTAACCGTTGGACCGGCCTGTAATTTTGACTGAGTGTTCATAACATCTTGGTCTTTGATTTGAACGGTGGAGATCAGATTTGGAAGCCCTTAGCATCTGATTTCGAGCCTCGAACAACAGCTTTATTTTTGTGGATTCTCCTCTTTCTTTAATTGATTAGTTGTTGCTCTTATTGCTAATGTTGCTCCGTGTTTGGCACTTGTTGTGTAGACAATTTGGAGAACTTTTGTAACTCTCTTATTGTTATAGTGGAGCTTTCTGGATCTTTGTGATCTCGTGGTTTGTACCTTCGATTTGAAGGGTTTTGCACGTTAAAATTTGGTGTTCTTTATCTTCTATATTTTCGGGTTTGCCTCTTCCTCAACATAACAGCGGTATCAGAGCTTTGGCTATTTATTTGGGTTGTTACGGAATGGAGACGAATATGAGCAAGATGGTATGTTCAAATGGGAGAAATTATAATGTTTGGAGAAGTAAGATGAAAGATTTGTTGTTCGTGAAGAAGATGCATCTACCCGTTTTTTTGGCTCATAAACCTGAGACTATATCTGATAAAGATTAGAATTTCGAACACCAGCAAGTATGTGGATATATACGATAATGGGTTCAAGATAATGTTAGCAACCATATTGTGAATGAGACACATGGGAGATCATTGTGAGAAAGCTAGAGACGAAAATTTAGAAATCGAACGGAATTCCAGCTTTATGGCCCTAAAACGCCAAAAAATGAGTAATGGTCATGGCGAGGCGGTGACTATTATTTCTTATGTCGTTTTTATGGGCTGGAAAATTTTTAGGCGTTCCAGGTCTGGACGCCCGGGCCAATGCAAGAGGCATGGGCTATAGCACATGAAAATCCGGGAATCGGGCAGAATTTTAGTTTGATGGCCCTAAAATGCCAAAAAATGAGTAACAGTCATGGCAAAATGATGACTAATTGTTCCTTAGTTCGTTTTTTATGGTCCAAATTTTTTTAGGTAATTTGGGTCCGGTCGCCCGGATGCATGCAGATGACATGGGTTATAGCACACGAAAATTTGGTAATCAAGCGGAATTCCAGTTTTATGGCCCTAAAACACCAAAAAAAAGAGTAACGGTCATGGCGAGGCGGTGACTATTGTTCCTTAGCTCGTTTTTAATGGACTGGAAAAATTTTAAGCGGTTCGGGTCCGGGCGTCCGGGCCCATGCAGGAGGCATGGGCTTATAGCATATAAAAATCTAGGAATCGGGTGGAATTTCTATTTTATGGCCCTAAAACGCCAAAAATTGAGTAACAGCCATGGCGAGGCAAAGACTATTGTTCCTTAGTTCGTTTTTGACTGGCCAAAAAAATTTTAGGCGGTCCAGGTCCGAGCGCCCGGGCCCATGCAGGAGGCTTGGGCTATAACACACAAAAATCTGGGAATCGAGCGAAATTCTAGTTTATGGCCCTAAAACACCAAAAAATAAGGAACGATTATGGCGAAGCTATGACTATTGTTCCTTATGTCATTTTTTATGGTCGGGCAAAATTTTAGGTGATTCGGGTCCGGTCGCCTGGATGCATGCAGATGACGTGGATTATATCACACAAAAATTTGGGAATCAGACGGTATTTTAATTTTATGAACCTAAAACGCTAAAAAAATGAGGAACGATCAGGGAGAAGTGGTGACCATTTTTCCTTAGGTCGTTTTTGAAGGCCCAGCAAAATTTTAGGCGATACGGGTCTTGTCGCCTGGATTCATGCAGAAGGCGTGGGCTATAGCACACGAAAATCTAGGAATCAGGCGGAATTTCAATTTTATGGCCCTAAAATGCCAGAAAACGAGGAACGGTCATGGCGAAGCAATGACTATTATTCCTTAGGTCGTTTTTATGGCCCAAAAGTTTTTAGCCGATTCGTGTCCGATCGCTTGGATGCATGCAGATGGCGTGGACTTATAGCATATGAAAATTCGAGAATCGGCAAAATTCTAATTTTATGGCCTTAAAACACCAAAAAACGAGGAACCATCATGGCAAAACGATGACTATTGTTCCTTAGATCATTTTTTATGGGCTGGCAAAGTTTTAGGTGATTTGGGTTTGGTCGCCCGGATGCATGCAGATTGCATGGGCTATAACACACGAAAATCTAGAAATCGGGCAAAATTCTAATTTTATGGCCCTAATACGCCAAAAAATAAGGAACGGTCATGGCGAAGCGATGACTACTGTTCCTTAGGTCATTTTTGATGGACCGACAAAATTTTAGATGATTCGGGTTTAGATGCCCGTATGCATGCAGATTGTGTGAGCTATAGCATACAAAAATATTGGAATCGGGCGGAATTTCAATTATGGCTCTAAAACGCTAAAAATGAGGAAATGGTCATGGCGATGCGATGACTATTATTCCTTAGGTCATTTTTTATGGCCCGGCAAAATTTTAGGCGATTCGGATCTGGTCTCCCAAATGCATGCAGATGGCGTGGGCTATAACATACGAAAATATGAGATCGAGCGGAATTCTAGCTTAATGAATCTAAAACGCAAAAAAATGAGGAACAGTCATGACGAAGCCATGTCTATTGTTCCTTAGGTCGTTTTTTATGGCCCGACAAAATTTTAGGTGATTCGAGTCCGGTCACGGGATGCATCCTGATGGCGTGAGCTATAGCAAACGAAAATCTGAGAATCGGGCAGAATTCTAGTTTTATGGCCTTAAACGCCAAAAAAAAGGAATGGCCATGGCACAGCAATGACTATTGTTACTTAGGTCATTTTTGAAGGCTCACCAATATTTTAGGCGATTCGGGTTCGGTCGCCCGGATGCATGCAGATGGCGTACGCTATAGCACAAAAAACTAGAAAACTGGCTTAATTCTAGTTTTATGGTCCTAAAACGCCAAAAAACGAAGAACGGTCATGGCGAAGCAAAGACTATTGTTCCTTAGGTCGTTTTTGATAACCCGCAAAATTTTAGGCGATTCGGGTCCGGTTGGATCTGGTCGGCCGGATGCATGCAGATGGCATGGGCTATAACATATGTAAATCTGGGATCGGGCAGAATTCTAGTTTTATGGCTCTAAAATGCCAAAAAATGAGAAACCGAAGAGATGACTATTGTTCCTTAGGTCGTTTTTTATGGCCCGACAAAATTTTATGACCACAAAATACCAAAAAATAATATTTTTCATGGTGAGTATTGCTCACAAGATCATATCCGATGGTTCCACCAATTTTTAGGCCTCTCGGAGTCCGTCAACCAAATTCAGGAAAATTATCACGTATACAAACACGCGGAAAAATAAACATAATCATTAATTCATGAAGGCCATATCCAATGGTACTACCATTTATAGACCAATATGGAGTCCGTTAACCAAATTCAAGAAAATCATTATGTTATAAACACACAAAAGAATAGACATATCATTAATTCATGTTTTATGATCTCGAAACGCTGAAAAATATTATTAATCATGGTGAATATTACTCACAAGGTCGTATCCGCTGGTTCCACCAATTTTTAGGCTAATCGGAGTCCGTCAACCAATTTCAAGAAAATTATCATGTATATAAATACACGAAAAAACAGACGTAATAATTAATTCCTATTTTATAACCCCGAAAAGCCAAAAATCCATGTTAGTCCTGGCAAAGCCATGGGTTTTAGTTACACATTTTCGATGACCCTATCAAATTTCAGGTCAAGCAAAGTCTGACAACTTTTTAAGCATCGTAGAAAACAAGCGATCGTGCATAGCACGGGATCAGGTGCAGTATGCTTGTGTTGATGCTTTTATTTCTTTTGAGATTGGAAAGCGTTTAAATGCTTATGACTATTAATCTTCTTTCTCTTCTCTTGATACTTTGGATTGATTTAAACTGCTTAGTAGGTGTATCTTTTGGGTTTTGATGAAGATATATATCGTGTATCATTCTAACTGCATATTAGGGTTTGCTTTATATTTAGGGGAAAAACAAAGATGGTTTTATATAAGTTAATAATCTTTGCATTAAGCATGTTGCAATTGATGTATTGTTTAATCGGGTTCAATGTGAACAATATGCTACTTATTAGTTCTATCATCATTCAACTATGTTCTTCTTAAGTAGTAGTGTCACAAACCTTGAGCTAACTGTAATACTAGTATTTCTTGCAATTTTACCCATATGGAACATTAGAATAGGCTAAAACTTTATGCGCGTACTTGAGGAAAAAAGAATTTTTGAAGTTTAATCAGATTATGAAGACATTGAAATTTCACTAGTAAGAAAAACAATACATAATCTTATTAATATCTTACAAAACTTCACAAAGATTCAAGTAACCATGTTATCGAACCAAAAAAATAAGAAAAAAGACAATGAAATAGTGGAAAAACAAAAGATGTTACATAGATCAGTAGTAAGGTATGTTTGAGTACCCTTGTTGTATTTTTCTTCTTCAGAATTTATAAATAAAAGTACATGAAAATAATAAGCCCGAGTGATTTAAATAAAAAAAAATGTTACGTATTTCATTGGCTTATATGTGCATACAAGTGTAGAGGTAACCTAGGAGTAGGAACAACTTGTAATGGAGTGTGCATGTAGGTAACTGTACCAGGACTCTCCAACATATCAACATCTTCAAGCTTAACACCAGGAGGCAAAGACCAAGTAAACTGGTGCAACAAATGTGCTAGCATAGACGTGACCAAATTAATGGCAAGATTCATACCTGCAGTGGCAGAACCAGGATATTTATTAAGGGGAATCAAAATATAAAGAAATAAACATACAAAAAATTAGGGAGTTGAACATTGACGTGACCAAGCTCCCATTAGGCCATAGATTTTGACTGCTTTTTTTTTTTTCAAAAAATTGAAAACATTGGGTGAAAATTTGGACAAATTTTGAAGAAAAAAAATACCGAGTTCCCAAAAACTTGTCTAGGGCAGTTTTTGCGTGAAATTTTTTCTCACAAAACTTTAATTTTTTTTTCAAATATAATATATGTCCAAACACAATTTCAACTTCCAAAAATTATTTGGTAACATAACTTCAAAAACTACTATTTTTTTAAGTTTCAACTAAATTTATGTCCAAACGCTAGTCAAATTTATGGCAAGATTCATACCTGGACATATACGTCTTCCGGCACCAAAAGGCAGTAATCTGTAGTCATGTCCCTTCATGTCAATATCCTCTTTTATAAATCTTTCTGGCCAAAATTGCAAAGGATCTTTCCAAATTCTTGGATCACGACCTAAGGACCAAACATTAACATGTACAATTGAACCTTTAGGAATGTTGTAACCACCCACTTTGACATTGTTACTTGCCATATGAGGTAGCATTAGGGGAGTTGGAGGATGCAACCTTAGTGATTCTTTGACTACATATTGTAGATAAGAGAGTTTGGAGATATCCGATTCGTTTACGATCCGGTTTGACCCGATAACCCGGTCTAGCTCCTCTTGGACCTTTAGTTGAACCCTTGGATTCTTTATCAGTTCTGCCATAGCCCATTCAACTGTAATGGCTACTGTGTCCATCCCTGCTGTTATCATATCCTGCAAATGTTTTGATTCACAACACTCAGTGATATGATTCTATAATTCAATATGTGATGTAAAAAAATTAAAAAAAAAAAAAAAAGGAAATTAGTATACTTACCCAAAGAAGGCCAATAACGGTGTCATCACTAAGATCATACTGCTTCTGAAGGGTAAGCAAAGCATCAACAAAATGGTGTTTGGTTTCCCCAGTTTTCTTCCTAGCAAGAGTGTGTTCTTCCATTATAATTCTTGTAAAATTTTCCAAACGCCTGTCTTGAGCCTCGAGAGCTTCATTATCATCCTTAAAAACCCAACGCAGCCATGGAACAAACTCTCCCAAATTAGGCTTTCCTCCAATCTTTAACCCATTGGACACTATGGCTTTGAGCTCTTCACCTTGCTCATTAATTTCACCTTCTGACTTCATAAATCTTTTCCCAAATGTTAGTCTTGTTATGTTGTTGAATGCTACTGATCCCAAGTAGTTCCTCAACATCAAGGTTTTACTAACATTGCCTGCACATGTACACATATAACTTAATACTCTATATATGCGCTCATACTACTTATATATATAATAAAAGGATTTGAAATATATGCACTGATAATTTAATACTCCCTCTGTTCACTTTTATTTGTCAACTTTGGACTTTTCACGCCCCTTAAGAAATAATAATTGTAGTATGTATTTTACCATATAACCCCTAACAATGAAAGCATTTAAAAAAATCTTGGAAAATAATTTTGGAAATGAGTAATTAATGATAAGGGTAAAATAAGAAAATTAAAAAAATTGTCTTCTCTTGATTTGCTAAAATGGATAAGTAAAAGTAAAAATATATTTTTGGTATATATAGTGAACAAGTAATAGTGAACGGCGGAGTATTCTATTATAGCAATTTTTTTTATTATTTATTGTAGGTTATAACTACTGAGTACATATTAAATAAAGTTATTTATAACTACCTTCCAGATCACCTGATTATATAAAATATTTTTATGTCATCACATCAATACATATAACTTAAACTCATAATCTCTGTATATAATCATTTGTGGGAGCCTGGAGGATTCGGTTGTTGCATTTAGAATATATTAACCATAATCTAATTCTCAGATGTTCGAATAAACAATTAGGTACCAAAAAGAAGAAGCTGTCACTATCTAATCAAGAACGCTTAAAGATGAGCTTAAATTCTATACTTAGAGCAAGACGATCTAACACGAAAAGGACCGCTAAAGGCCATATCCACATTTTAATCCACACATTACACGACTAATTAGTCAAACTTAGGGATGGCAACGGGGCGGGGCGGGGGCGGGATGGGTTGCGAGCGGGTTTAATATTGGTTCGATGCGGGGCAACTTTGAATTTTATCTTTTTTGAAACAAAGCAACCATTTCAACTACATTCTTCTTCACTAGCACGAATATTATTTTTGATCTATAATTAACCAATTTGCATAAGTCTCACCAAAATGATATTACATAAGTCAAGATATCGTATTAGTAATAGGAAATGATAGTAACCCATTTATTTTGGAAGATGAGCGTAATACTCTCTCAGTTTTATGTTTATGTGATCAGAGGCGGAGCTAGTATTTAAAGCTTGTGGGTTCGTGATTCTAATTCATTTATGTTAGTGGGTTCTAAATTAACAATTTATACATATTCAATGAAGTTTTAAAACAAATACATGGTTTGGACCAAAGTTAGTGGGTTCGGCGGAACCCGCTAGCTCTATGCTAGCTCCGCCCCTGTATGTGATTCTATTAAACTCTTCATTTTATAAAGTTAAAAATCAAACTAGTTTGTTTTAGAAAAAAATTTAAAGAAAAAAGGAAAAAAATTAAGTGGGGCGGGGTGAATTGAAATTTTTATGAGTTTTGCCAGACCCGCCCCACCCCATTACCATCCCTAGTCAAATTATCCTGTTTTATTATTGTGGATTTCTTTAAGCATTTTCACTTGTTGGGATTAACAAATCTATCACATTGTATTATTATTTTCTTTATATTTCCATAAATATGAAAAACGACATTATACAACCTTCCCTTTAAATAATATTAGGGAAAATACCCATATCGGTGTTGAGAGAAATCAGGAAGAAGTCAGAAAAGATGAACGAGTTTTAGAGTCTTCAAAACAAAAACATAAGGTGGACTAGTGGAGAATATTTTGCTCAAATTTCACTAATCAAATTTGGATGAATATTCTCGTCTAAAACAGCAACTATTTGGGATAACTCGCTATCGCCCATGTTGATTTTCTACTTAATACTCATCTAATACTATTTTCTTATTAGCCGTTCCAAAACTAACGAATGACACTTTTTTACATTTAAAAGCAAATACCCCATTCTTTATCTAGCACTTCATATATATATATATATATATATATATACACACGCGCACACAAATGAATAAAACTAACCTACAAGGCTACAACAATTGGTAAATCTTGCACATATAATATTCTGAGTTGATGGTAATATGGAAAATAGGATTAGAACTTGCCCGTTAAATTCATGATATTAAAAATAGGATTGCATTGATATTGTAATAAATATCGTAAGTATGTATAACTTAAATTCATGATATTAATATGTTCGTCACCACTCACCATTTGAGACTTCATTAAAAATATTCAATCTAGCTATATATAGTATGTACTTTGTTATCATTGGAACTTTCACTTTCTAAACATAGTATCATAAAACGTTAACTAAAGTATGATAATCAAATTGCAGTGTGATCTCTTCTGACGTCTGAGTAATAAATTGTCTTTTATGAAACTGAAACATATACGCTATAAGCCTATAATTAACACACGCGCAGAGAAAAGATCAGAGACCACTCTCTCCCTTTGATTAATATATTTTTTTTATATTGCTTCCATTTTGGATAAGTTAGTACAAGAAAATATTTATTTTTTAAAAAAAATAAAACTTGTGCTTTGGTGGGTCGATTTCTATCTCCTTTTGACTGGAATAAAGAAAAGCTTTTCGCGTGGAATTGTAGGGCTTGTGCCACACAAATAGCCGGTCAGATTTAATGTTTACTTTTTTTAGCCGGTATACATAGATTAAATATTAGTTATATATAGTTATACATAAATTATACATATATTATACATCCGTTAACTATTTTTAGTTTATGAGATAATTGGGTGGATTGCTATTTGGGTTAATTCTTCAAAATAAAATAGGGATAAAAATCCTAACTACATTCCATTTAATCACTATTTATACAAAACGACTTTAATTGCTATCAAATAACTATTTAGCCGTATACAAGAAATATCCAATATGATTGCCGTTCATAATATACCGTTAAGGTTTTTTTTTTTTCCTTTTGTTGGATTTGTCATGGAATTTAGTACTCAAACCTCTTATATGTCGCATGGCCAGCCATATTTTAATTAATTCAACATTAATTTGCATTGTCTAAATAAGAGTTGCTATCAAAATTTCACAAGAACAACATTTCACGATATGAAGCAATCAATGAGAAAATTTCAAGATCTACCCAAAAAAATGGACACAGACAGTAAAAAGTAAAAGTGGAAAACTTACAAGGCTTAATAGAGTCTCTGAAGATGTTTTCAACCATGGCAATAACTTCATCTTCTCTAATAGGTCTAAGAGCTTCAAGTCTTTTAGGAGTAAAAAGCTCGAGATTACAAAGCTTCCTTACTTTCACATAATGAGGCCCATAATCAGCCCAAATTAAATCCATCCCATTTTTACTAACATTTTCAAGAGGCTTAGTTCTAAACCTGTTGGCCAAGTTTTGGTCATTATCTTTGAGAACTTCTTTAGCTAATTCTGCATTGTTCACCACCACATTTAGTTGTGAACCAAGGTAAAATGAGAAAATGGGCCCATAAATTTGGGCCCATTCAGCAAAGCATCGGAACCTCACCGGCGTTATGTCGAAGAGGTTTCCGATGACTGGCCACGGCCACGGACCCGGCGGCAGCTTGGCCGTCAGCCGGTGGTAGAGTTTATAAGAAAGAAAGATGAGAATTATAGATATGGAGAGTACTAAAGGAAGAGCCATTATGGAAATTAAAGTTTGTGTGTGAAGAAATGAGGCAAGCTATGGCTCCTTTATATAACAATTTTTTCATTCCCTTAAAGAAGGAAAAGTCGTACCTTTTATATATTTTTAAATTTTAATTAACTTTGATGGAGTTAATGATTCATGAATTGACAGAAACAATTATTATAACTATTATGACCATATCACATTCTTATGATTTTGCTCAACTTGAAAATAAGTGGACCACTAGTTTAGGAATCCTTTTTCTTTTTGTAAAGAATTAACCCAAATAGCAGTCCACCTAATTTTTTAAACTAAAAATAGTCGGCGGATGTATAATATGTGTATAATTCATATATAATATATGCATAACTATATATAATTAAGAGAAATTTTCATGAAGTACTATTTTTTAGTGGTAATTAGCTATCTATAGATACCATTTGCTATATTACGGATTGTAGATACGTTTTCTGTTGTTATATGACGTATTAGATGTATTTAAGCTATTGTATTCATGAATACAGTAGCAAAAATAGGCGTGAATCAGGGAAGTCCAGCTAATCAGTTGTTGTATTCGAGTGTATTCGACTGTATTCATGGCGTGAAACATGGGATTACAGCTCGACAGATTATTGTATTCGACTGTATTCACGGCATAAAATTACACTGTTTTTAAACGGAAAGTGAATGAATTAACATAATAGACTCCTAATATAACTCAACAAACTCAATTATAGCACACAAATTTTGTATTTTCTTGTATAAAAAAGATTCTCAATCGAAAAATACCCCAAAAACATAGCAATCTTCAAAGAAATTATATAATACATCTGAATACATAAATTATATTAATTAAAAAAAATATATGAATACATTCATGGCATATAGCGAGACAGTGAATACAATGAAATACATAGAATACAGCGGGATACATTGGAATACAATAAAAAAAAGACAGTTAATACAATGAAATACGTGGAATACAGCGAGATACATTGAATTACAATGAATACAATGAAATATATGAAAATACAGCGTGATACATTGAAAACACATTGAAATATATTAACAGAAAATCAAGTTGCTCAGCCCCAAACTCCGTCGTCTTTGTTCAAGAACAAACCCTAATTTCCGGCGAATTCGCCGTCGAGCAAAAACCCTGAATCTCAACAAAAAGGCCCTTCGTATTCAATCAAGTGCCCTTCGTATTTGATCAAATAGGAAGGGCCCTTCGTAACAGAAAATCAAGTTGCTTCTAACCCTTTGTATTCAATCAAGTGCCTTTGTTCTCTTGCGAGCAGAGTCGAATCCTTTTCACGAAACAATAAAGAATCTGCTATTGCAGCAAAAAAATATCTGAGCTTCTCCCAAAGAACTCATTTTGCCAGAAAGAGAAACTTTATGAGTTAGTTAGGGTTCCGATAGAGTGAAGGATGGCGGAACCGACGAGTCCAGGCGGCGGCGGTGGAAGCCATGAGAGTGGCAGCGAGCGGAGCCCTCGGTTGTGTTTTCAGGGAATGGGGAAAGAGAATGGCATGTATCAAAGTAGAGAGAGAAAGAAAATAGTGTAACTGAATAGCGTATTTAGTGGCTTAGGGGTAGGAAGTAACCAAAATTAGATATTTTGCTATAAACATTAAAAGGTATCTATAGAATATAATTTTTTTAAATGGTATTTATTTAAAATAAATAAGGTGTTAACCTTTGCCATAGGAGGTAAAAATTTCTATAATTAATGTATAATCTATGTATACCGGCTAAAAAAAAGCAAACATTGAATCTGACCGGCTATTTGTGTAACAATCCCTTCTTTTTTTGTTTACCAATGGATATCCCATATCCGCATTAGGGCCCCAACTAATCTGTCGTATTCGTTCAGCATAAGGTCTATTAGAGGAGAAGCTGCTTCCTATTAGTTTTTTTTTCTACGATCAAACCTGAAACATTTAGTTAAGGGTGTAGAGTTCCTATACATTCTACCACAACCCTTGACGGTACTTTAAAAAATTATTACTCCCTCCGGTCCACAATAAGTGACCCTTTTACCTTTTTATTTTGGTCTAAAATAAGTGTCCATTTACGTAATCAAGAAGGAATTAATTTTATTTTTTTTGCCCTTATTTACATATTCTAATGTATCAAGGTAACAATTAATTAAGGTTAATTTAGTGAATATATCTTTTTTTTCTGTAGGAGTTCGTATTTTCTTAATGGGTGTGCCAAAGGTAAAACGGTCACTTATTGTAGACAGGAGTAAGTAGTTGATTATACCATATATAGCAGACATTGACCTTATCCAAGGATTGCCTTATTTCTTTGATCCATAAATTCAATTGACAAATTTGTAAATTATAACTTACGGCTAGGGGTGGGTGTTCGGGCAGTTCGGATTGCATATGAAATTTCGGTTTGGATTTTCAGTTTTCGGATTGACGAAATGACAATCCAAATCCAATCCAAATAAGTTCGGATTGGATTGGATTTTTTAAGTTCGGTTTCGGATTAATCGGTTTGGATATTTTGGATTTTCGGTTTTGAGCTTATAAGTTGAGATGTCTCTTCTTTTTACAAAAATGAATATCCAAATGAAGTACTCATGTTAAATTGCCTGAAAAGTTCTTTATTCTCACCGCAATCATCCAAATAAAATATTAAAGTAATGAACTTATTATATAAAAAAATAAAAAAATACAATAGAGACGTTAATACGACAAATAAGAAGTAGAAATAGTAAAACCATGTCCAAATAGAAAGTATTCTCATAATAACTTAGTAATTAATATTGAATATATATGATAATATCTAATGGGTAGGGTATTGAACTTATTACTATTGACATATGGATAATGGACTAAATATAAAGTATAAGAATTTCGGATTTTCGGATATCCAAAAATTCGAAGTACCAAATCCAATATCCAATCCGAAATCCAAAAATTTTAAAAACTAAATCTAAAATCCAATCCGTAATCCAAACCAAAAATCCAAGAAATTCGGATTTCGGTTTGGATTTCGGGTTTGCCCAAAGTATGCCCACCCCTACTTACGGCATGACCAAGTTGACTCTTAAAAGCTTTGACAGTAATGATGCATGTAAGGCTGTATGGTGGGCCGGGCCCGGGCCTAAATGGGCTAAACGGGCCGGGCTAAACGAGCCTGGGCTTAGCGGTCCCGGGCTTCACGGTCCCGGGCTTCGTGGGCTCAACGGGTAGGACCACCCCGTGACGGGCCTAAGCCCATATGGTCCTGGGCTAAATGGGCCGGGCTCGCGGGCTTAGCGGGCCTAACGGGATTTTTTTTATTTCCGGGCTTTTTTTTTTAATTTTTTTTATTTAAGGCAATTTCTTGTAAACCATATGTGTATGTATATATATAAATTGCTCTTATGCATTGCTATATAAATATATGTAGTATATATAATATAGAAATCTAATTATTAAAGTGTTTGACGAAAATGTAAAATAACAAATCAATAGTAAAACTAAATTGGCATGCATAATAAATTAATAACAAAGTACAACATGAAGCATAAATACGTCTAATAATTTTAAAATAACACAAATTGTTGAAAAATCTTAAAGACGAATTTGCGGATAAATACCCTCAACACAATACTTTATATGCCTCCTTAAAATGCCTGTGGTACACCCTGAACGAAAATTTAAGAATCTTCCACAGTTCTTGCACTTTAATATTTGGCCTTCTTCATTTTCTTCAAGCACTTCATAGTATTGCGAAACAAATAAGCGCACTCTTTCCGAACGAGGCATGATTTAACTTGAAAATTGAGATTGAGACTCTAAGTCTTGAAAATTGGAGATTGAGAGATTGAGAGAAATTTAGATTGAGAAATGAGTATTGAGTATTGAAATGAAGAAGAGGGAGGGGGGTACTTATAGTGTTAGAGAAGGTTAGTTTTGTAAATTGGAAAAAAATGGCTATTTGTGCAATTAATATGACCGTTGGTGGTCATTGGGGGTTGGGCCTTCATTTTGAAAAATCTTGTTTTGTAGTATATATAGTACTACTTCTTCATGTATATATAATATATATAGTATATTAGTATAGTATACTATATATTGTATGTTATGTATATATATTCCCTTATATAATTTGTTGTAGTATATATTGTATGTTATGTATATATATTCCCTTATATATTTTCTTGTAGTATATATTGTATGTTATGTATATATATTCCCTTATATAATCTGTTGTAGTATATATTGTATGTTATGTATATATATTCCCTTATATATTTTCTTGTAGTATATATTGTATGTTATGTATATATATTCCCTTATATATTTTCTTATAGTATATATTGTATGTTATGTATATATATTATAGCTTATAAATAATTGCAAGTTAAAGACAAAAAAATATTGCAAAGAGATATTCAAGGGCATGTCTTATAATTTTTATTACCAAAAATGGCATTTCTTTCTTAGTCTTCTTCCCCCCAATGGAATAAGCACAACAAGGTACTAATACCACCATTAAAAGGAAAAAAAACTAAAGAAGATATGCCAAAGTACAAGTTACACCATAATCTACATTGTATCTCTAACAAATCTCATAAATCCTTCAAGGTTCGGAGGAGGTTCCGTTGGTGGTGGCGGAAAAGAAGCTTGTTCATCACCGCTTCCGGGCGAAGCAGCATCCTCCGCAAGTTCCGCTATCATTTCTTCATAAGCTTCGTCTATCTCCGGTTGTGATTCTGCAAGTCCAAAGTTTCTTCTTTCCGAGCGGATCCAATCTCTGAATAGTACTGATTTTTCCAAGCTCTCCCTCATAGACGCTCTATGATCACCTATTTGAAGTCTTGCTTGACTGAAAGCGCTTTCTGATGCAACTGTTGAAGCTTGAATAGATAAAATATCCCGAGCCATCCTTGCAAGAACCGGAAAATGTTTTTCCCTAGCCTTCCACCATTCCAAAAGATCAAAGGTGCCGTCTGGATTCTCCTTTTCAAGTCCCTGCGACAAAGAAACTTGAAGCTTATTTAGATGTGA